TACAAGTTTCTGCGTAGGTCAGAATGACTCTTAAAGGTCAGGAAAGTGGCCGCCGTCAGTTTGACCGGTACGCGTATCTTCTTCGCGTGCGTCAATTTGACGACCTATAACCAGATTGCTGTCGTCGTCAAATTGATCTGGGCTGCGCATACTAGGAGGACGTAATTCTGCATGTGGCGCCAAAACCTTTGAAAAGAAGTTGGCTCGTCTGCCTCGGCTTCTTTGAAGTTAATTGAGCTTGTGCGTTCACTCTTCAGTCCTGAGTTCAGGGAAGTGCTGCCAGCGTGACGGCCAGCTGAAAACCAGGGAGGCAAGCTTGACTATTGAACAGGCCTTGACATTATAAATCATCGATGGCTGCTCAGCAAGATCGGGTGACAATCTGTCCTCTTCTTCCGGCTTCACAGTAGCTGCCACGTAGCTGCAGTTTGCTGGCTGTTGTTATACTGAAGTGAGTATGGCCAGAAACCACCATCACGAAGAGGACGAGTTTGGGGATGATGAGATTGCTGAGGAAACGCAGGAGCTGATGCAAATTATCTTTGGAGATCCGGAAGAGTGGAACGATGTCATTGAAACTGCTCCGAAGCAGATGAGGCAAGCGTGTCGGGTTGCAAAAGATAAGGCAGCAGCCCTGAGGCGGTACTGCATTGAAGCAGGGCTCCTGAGACTCCCTGTCCGCACAAAGTCTGGAAAGTCAAGACATACTCTTCCAAGAGATGTTAACAGGAAGAGACGGAGTCTTGAAACCAGCTTGCAGAAGCTATTTGCGAAGGGTCGCGCCAATGGAGCAGGGGTGGAAGAGTTTGTGTGGGGCATCTCTTATGGGGATGGCAGCATCCGCATCGGTGAGCTCTGCTTTAACCATAGCTTACACCTACTGACTTTTGCAGACCTTTGTGACCTGATGGGGAAGGAGAAAACGAAGGTTGAGTCAATGACAGCAAGACATCATATGTCTCGGAATACTGATAGCTAGAGTAGTTTCATCCAAAGACTAGCACAGCTCCCAATTCAAAGCAAATAGAGTGTCCATCAAGAACAGATGTCTAATGTAGTCCGCTCTGGTGTGTACAGGATCTGATGAAGTCCTTGCTCCCATCTGGCAAAATGAGGGTTACATGGAGAAGGTCCGACAGCAGGCAAACACTTCAAAGTTGACCGCACAACAATTCAAGGTGAGGATTGCAAATGCCGTTCCATATTGTTAGAGCTGATCTGGAGTTCTGCTTTGAATGGGCCACAGGCTGGATGATGTGCAGATGGTGCGCTTGACTCCCAACTGAATCTCTTGTTGCTTCCAGTTCCAGCGATATTGTGGCTAGCCTGGGGATGTTTGAGACTCGTTTGAGAAGGTGTGAACGTCCAAGGCTGACGACCAATGTGTGTCCTTGCAGGACAGCTTGCGGTCGGCAGACATTGCCACTCTTCTTTCTAAGCACCTCTCTGTGCCGGAGCGGAAGGCCGCTGTGACATCCCTGGGGCCAGTCTGCTCTCCCTCAATGGCAGTCACATCCTTTACTGCCGCCTTTGGGGCTGCAAGTGGACGCTTGGCATGGTGGCCTCCGGCTGTCCCGCTCTCAAAAGCATGGAAGCTGAAAGCTGATGAGACCATCGTTGTTCTCGAGGCGATGGCACAAAACATTGTGACACATTTTGGTGAGTACGTAGTTGCTGCGCACCTGCATTTAAGCACGGAAGTAGAGAAAGAGGAAAGGACCAGCTTTGTGTATGCCTGATGATTCCAGCTTAGAGTCTTTCTCCCTTGGTCATTTGGGAATGTGAAGCTTCAAAAGTGCAGCGGGCCTGGTGGAGCACATTTTTTTCTAGTTTGACACATTGGCTAAATTAGGGCCTCGGAATGCTGATTGTATGTGGTTTGCAGGGGCCGGCACAACCTTGTCAGAAGAAGAGCAGAAGCGCGGCTGCTTGGAGGTTTTCAAAAGGTGTGTGGTGGGCCCGCATGTCGCCGCTGGCCTCAAGGGGTCCGACAGTCGGAAAGTGGCCATATTTGAGCTCATTGGCGAGAAGGCTGTGATGATGTGGCAACTTCCTGCAACCAGCGGCCAAGGACAGGAAGGTGAGAAATGTTTGGGAACTTTTACATCTGCTTTCTTCCCATGATGAGTTGGCAGCTTCTTCGAAAGCTGCCAAAGACAGAAACATGAACATGGTCTTAACTAAGTGATCAGCTTTGTTCAAAAAGCTCAAGACTAAGACTTGTCTCCCTCTTTCTCAAGTCAAGCTTGTTCAGGTTGGTGCGCGAGTCTGGAGATACTTGCTTGTACAGTAGTTGAATTCTTTGAGTCAATACAGCTGTGCAAGGCAGGCATGGTCAACCATGACTTGGCTCCGGTGGATGATGAGTAGGTGCAAATACGGGGCAAATACCATCACGCTCAGCAAAAAGCTTTTGTACTCTGATCCACGTAGGCTTTGACCATCTTGTTCTCGTGGTGCTTCTTTATGTGTTTCCTGGCAAATCTGGAGCCTCTCTTATGTTGTGACAGGCGGCGACTCCGGCGCACCGAGTCAGTCCCCCGCGCCAAGACGAGTAAGGAGGACCAAGGCGCAGATGGGTCCCCAGCCCTTTCCGTGCCCGCGCTGCGTGGGCGAGTACTCCACAGCGGCTGCCTTGAAAGCTCACCGGTGCAGAGCAAGAGCGGGTGCCCAGCCATGCACCAATAGCCAGACGGCAGCCCCCGCTGCAACAGCACAGGGAGCTCATCGAACTGGGGGCACAGTGCCACCGTCCAACGGATGGGAGCAGGAACATTGGGATGACGCTCCAGATGGTGCCATGGACGAACTTATTGAGGAGGTGGAGAAAGACGCAGCACAAGGTACATGTTTGTCTCACTGTCTCACCTTCTCTAGCTTTTCTCACTTGGTCGTGCTTCTTCGAGCTGGAGTGTACAGCTTAATGTTGAGTCGCTTTCAGGAGATTTTTCTCTGTGGCATGTAAAAGGATTCTTCTTGCCTGCATCAAGTCAATCTGCAAAGAGGGTTGCCTTGATCCCTGTATCACGTTATTGCGAACTAATTTAAGTTGGAGTCAATCAGTCTGGCAGTGTTACAGTTGTCTTTGAAGCAGAACATAACGACCTACCTGTACATCACGTTTTTGCTCTCTGGTCCTGCTCTCTCCAAACTCAGCACGTGCCATATCTGAGATAGCACCTGATCACCCGAGAACTCCATTGACAATTTTCATTTTCACATGAGGTTTTAATCATCTTCTCTTCGATCAACTTCTCTGTAATTCTGCTTATGCAGATTTTAGCGAGTCAATCAACTCATGCGTATATGTTGACCTCGGGCAGGTACTACGGAGGCTCGGGAAGCGGTACGACCCCAAGTAGCCGCTACAGAGTTTCTACACTCTGTACAACATTTCGCCGCACCATACGAGCAGGACTCCAACGCCCCATCACACCTCCTCCAGCTGCTCGGTGACCTGCTCGATCAAGGTGACGTCAGCCGCAAGGTGTTGCACGTCCTGCACACCATGCAAGGTGTTGGAACCGTCTCCACCCGGCTCCACAAAGCTGGTTTAGACGTGGCGGTGCCGACGGACACTTTGCTGGTAGAGGCGCACACGGAGACTGTGGTCCGGCATCTCCGCGTTGGATCAGGCAATTGGCCAAGGTTCATAGAGGAGTGCGAGTTGCTAGAAGACCTAGCCGAGAACATGGGAGGAGAGCTTGCAGAACGATGGTCATGTCTCCAACGGGTCATCTTGGATCCATCCGTGGCGAGCGAGGTAGTCGACAAGTTCAATCGAGATGCGGTATTCGCTCTCCTGACAGCCTTTGTAGACCGCGCAAAACTTGCCCTCAGGAACCTAGACAAAGCCCCAAACGAATCCGGGCACGGTAATGTCAAAGAACGTCAGCTGCCCCCGGGGGCAGATGCAGCGCAGGAGCATGAGCACGGGCGGCGCCAGGACGACGGGCCACCACGTGCGCAAGCGGGAGCGGGCCAGCGAGACGGGGGGCGGAGTGCACAACCGGGCTCAGGCCAGCGAGATGCGACGCTGAATCCGCATTCTGGGGGGGGCCAGAGTGACGTGGCAACGGCCGGACAGCCCAGGGGGGGCCGATGCGACGACGAGCAGAGTGCGCGATCGAGGGCGGACCAGCGCGACGCAGCGCCAAATGCGCAGCGTGGAGGGGGGCAGAGACCCGGGGCGCCGAGTGCGCAGTCTGATGGGGGGCAGGGACCCGGGGGCCCGAGTGCGCAGTCTGAGGGGGGCAGGGACCTGGGGCGCCGAGTGCGCAGTCTGATGGGGGGCAGGGACCCGGGGCGCCGAGTGCGCAAACTGGGGGGGCGAAGAGACCCGGGGCGCCGAGTTCGCAGTCTGGGGCGGGGCAGGGGCCAGTGGCGCCGGGTACGCAGTCTGGGGCGGGGCAGGGACCCGGGGCGCCGAGTGCGCAACTTGGAAAAGACCAGCGAGACGCAGCGCCGAGTGCGCAGCCTGGAGGGGGGAAGTGGGACGCGGCGCCGAGTGCGCAGCCCGGGTGGAAGCGAAGAAATGGCGCGCCGAGTGCGCACCCGGGAGCGGACCAGCGAGATACGGCGCCAAGTGCGCAACCAGGGAGGGGGCAGCGCGGTGCGGCACTTGAAGTGCAACAGGGGGACAGCCAGCACGTAGGGGCGGTAGCAACGCACCAAGGGGAACTTCAACAACATAAGCCGCCAAGTGGACAGCCGGAAGGGCCCGGACTTGAGGAAGGAGTCCCGCCGAGCGCGCAGCAGGAGGACGGCATGGACCACACCTCGCCGAGGGAGCAGCGAGAGGGCGAAGACAGAGACGGACTGCCCATGGCAGGAAAAGGTGGGTCCAAAATCGATGTCATACCACGTACTTAGCAGGGCGCGGCTGAGCACGAAGCAAAGTAGGGGGCGAAGAGATGCTCTTCCAAATGCTCACAAGGATGGGCCACCGCGAAACGTTCCAAAAGGTAATTCACAGGTACCTCCCCACAACAAAGGACTGAAGGCGAAAGTCAAAAGTAAGGCCAAGAGTCGGAGTTTGCCAAGTAAGTTGACCAACAAACAGGTCGTCGACCGATTGAAGCAACTTTGAAAGCCAAAGGTTTGGAGAGTCGTTCAGGCTTCGGAATTCCGGCTTTGAATCCAACCTGCACGACATGAAGAGTGCCAAGTGAAAAGTTTGAAGCCATTTTGCGTTAGTGTAGCCTTTGGTGGCTGACCGCAACCTTTTACCCTTAACTTTGGTGGACTTTTTCCACACAGGACCAGACGACCATGCTCGGCTGCCGCCACGTTTGGCACCGCTACCGTCCGGTTGCTTAAAAAGGACGGCTGCCTCTGAGATGGTACCAAAAGGTATTGATGTTCACGCAAACTCGATTCTGTTCGCTTTGAGATCAAGTGACGGGCTTCAAGGAAATTATGTGCTTGCTTCAATTCTTTTAAGATGTCTCGTTTGCTCATCGAACGCTTCCTGAGACAATCTAAGAAGCATAGGTAGTGCTGTGAGGGTGCTCTTTTGCGCAATGTTGCATCAATTCTCGGTTCGGTGATGGCTTCGACAAGACGAGGAACACTTTTTTGCAATCATTTGCAGGACGAGGAAAGAAGCCAAGAGGCGGGAAGGCCGAACGAAGTGGCTCGGCGGACTTACCAAGTAAGTTTGACGCTTAAAAGTGTTGCTGGAGTCCCTTGCACCTCAAGGTACTAGATTGTCTCTCTTTGTTGCCGATCTGGCCACGCTTATGGAGCTTGCGATCTGAAAGCTCGTATCACGTTTGGATGGGGGTTGACAAGGCAGTTTTGAGCTCCGCCCCAGCTATTCGCCCAGTACTCTTGCAAAAACGTTTGTGTCGACTGCTTGCTTCGTTGCTTCTGTTACGTTGGGTTTCAGAATCTGTTCGCTCGTGCAGGTGGGAGAGACGAAAACATGCCACGTCAAGGAGAAGATTCTGGATCAGTATGTGAAAGTAGCCGGCCACCGAGACGTGCCGCGAGTGCCGGTGTTAGCCAAGTGTTAAAGGAGCTCATGAACGGGTCACGTCGCTAGATAAGTAGTTGTTTTGTGGGTACTTTGAAAGCCATTTCAAGCAAGTTAAGTCGGCTGGTCAACCATGCAAAGTCAAGGTTGGAAACTAGTTTAATTGTTTATGAAAACCCATGCGTGAATGCTTCAATTTAATTCTATTGTGACGCTGGCACACGTTGATTCGATTGGTCAGGTGGAAACATATTGAAAGGTCTTGTAATCTCGTGGCACTAGGCTAGCGTCTGTTATTTCCCAAGTTTGCGACAAAGAAAACAAAGAAAAGCACAAGACAATCCAAGCAATTGTGTAATAGTGCAAGTAATATGCAGCCATGCAAGTCCGTTGGCCACATGGACCGGATGAAGTTGCCGTGGGCTTTCATTACAACGTCGTGCCGGCTGACTCATGATGACAGCTTCATGCACCCCGGACATGAAGCAAGGCCTATCGTATGGTTTGCGGAGGTAACTCGGCAAATGATAGGCTTCTTCCTCGAGGTACTTCTGCTAGTTGGTCATCGGTCTCATCATTCACGAGCGCTAGTTGATCCTAGGCATCACTGAATCTGAGCTATCCGGGTCAACGACTCTGTTGACCGTTGACTTGACGGTCAGGACTTCACGCATATCTTAAGGTTACCCGTCATGCATGGTCAGCCTAGGCGCTTTGCGTCACCTAGGCAAAAGCCGACTTTAACTGAGCCTCTAACAATATGGGCCAAATACTTGACTCGTGCCAGGCGACTCGGCATATAAATACTGACGACGAGCTGGGGCCCGCCGACTGTACGCTACCTTCGGCATGCGTCTCTCATGCAAACGGAACCTTAACATACCGGGTCACATGGTGATCAAGTGCTTCCTATTTTGAAACCAGCCTCAGCCTAAGTTCCTATCTTGTTTCCGACATATCTTATCACTTGCTGAATGATAACCCAAGGATTAACTATATGACTGACCACTCAGTGCCTCAGTGGTCGGACCGCTTCGGGGCTCATACTATTCACCAGTCATGCTTTCCGAGTCACAGTCGGGTCACTTATGTCAAATCTATGCGCATCCGCAGAACCACCGATGCGTCATCAATCTGAGTCACTACATAGGTGTAGACAAGCTTTGACTGCATGAAGTTTCGCGTTAGCACAAGATCGACATTTACGATATTGTGCAATATATATGAACAGCGGCCTGGTAGGTCAATTGTTTGGTAGTAGTCATTCCCCAACGATGCATATGAATATATATTGCGTACATCTGCATATAGGCCCAATGCTGGGAAAACTCGTATTTGATGACACAGATACAACCTCTGCCTGACAATTGACCTTGCCGCTTCCACATCCAATTGAATGTGGCGCAACCAGAATTGTTGATCAACTCTTAATGAATCAATTTATTGCATAGTGGACCGCAGAAAATTCTTGCACATCATGCAATTCTGGGCGAGGCCCCAAGCGGCACCAGTGCAACGATTGGGTTTACTACTTCATTCTTCAGCACTTAAACCTTGGACTCAACTTAATCAACACAAGAACTTCGTAAAAGAATGCTAGCTGCCAATCAATAATTCATTTGTACATTTGACATTCGATTAATTGGTTTAGATGTCACCAAGTTCGAGATCTATGTTACCTTCCTCAATAATGTTATCTAAAGCCTCAGTAAGGTCTACATCCACTAAGTTAGGCAGTGATGGAAAATCCCCTCTGTCTTGTTGGCGGTTCAAACAGTGCAGGTAGTACCTAGTGAACGTTAGGAAGGTAGCCTGACTCATGTAGGCGCACTGTGTTTTGATGTTTGCCACACGCGAGTTCCTCTGCTCATGAACTACTGTGTTCCGACTGTGCAACGATGGGTTACGTTTGATGGCGTAAGCTATGCTACAATCCTTATGATTCGGTTGGTGGAGCGCGTCAATTCCTACTAAAGTATTGCTGGCCCATTCGGGCTCCCTGTTCAGACTAAAGGCGTGATAATGACACCCGTTATCATAAGCTACGAGCTTTGGCGCACGCTTCCAACGGGTGAAAAGTACCTCGAACAAGGTTCTCGGGGACTCGGCATTGCGCATGACAAGGAAGCCGATGCACCGGCTGCACTTCAAGCAGAAAACAATGAGAAGGCCTGGCGTGATGCCTCGATGCTTATACTGATACTTGCGGCACGTGGCTCCTGACTTTTGGCTCACATAATCCGCCCGATATCGCCGCAGATTCCGAACAACGGGCAGATTCGGAAAGTACTGTCCCGTCCGCATGAATGTCTCTTCGTCGGTCCACGTGGTCGTATCTGCAAATGGAGCAGTGCATGTGAGTAGCTTGTCGGCCAACATCGCGTCTGACGCGATGCCGTAGCGGCGAAAGCACGAAACATTGTAAAGGAGTGAGTCGCGACGAATCACAAATAGATCGTGAGTACGCCAAAGAGAGACAGGACGGAGCAACTCTCGATTGAAAACAAAGCTTTCGAACTTGTAAGAAACGGCTGAGAGACGACAGCAACGAGAGAGACAAGAGACAAGAAATGAGGAGCCGGGTGATCAATCCGAGGTTGCCAAAAAGGTTACAAAATTTCTGACCAATAAGATACTTACCAGAATCAGGATGTTCTGACAAAGCGGGCTCTTTGCTGCTGGCAGTCTGAGACATGGAACGTTGGACGGCCGGCTGGAACGCACGACGGGCCACAGCGAGCATAACGCTGCAACAAAAACCGAATAATCCTGAGTGACCGGGCTGCTATCGTCACAGTCTTTTGCCTCCGTTCCAGTACTTCCCCTTCTGCAACCTTGCCAAATATAGTTTCGAAGAGTAACGCCGTGATTGCGCTTCCTACAACTCAACTAGCCTATGGGGGAACCAGAAAAGTTGACGCCATAATTTGTATTACCTCCCCAAACGTACTCGCTCCATGCGGCTATGCAGGGGCTTTTCCAACGAAAACTAAAGATTTTGGCGTCTACAATACTTTTTAAACTGAAGAATTGAATACTCATCATTAGGTCGTTTGTTTTTCCACGCTCCATGTGCTTGCAATTCAGTAGTTGGGGGATTGGTCAACGGACTGACCTGAGAAGTTCGATCGCGGCGCGGTCGAGTTTACCATCCGCTTGCTTTTGGAGGCTCATTACGAGCGTGTGCAGGACGGACGCGTCTGAGGCAAACTTCTGGTACGCCTGGAAGTCGGAGATGTGGCCGTGCACAAGTAGATGGTCTTCGACGATGGCAAACACGCTTGCTGGAAGAAGAGAGCAGGTGGGCGCGGGAGAAGCGACGGCATGCAGGAACTCCCGCAATTCCGGCCGCGCAAAGTGGCGGTCCTATAGAAGAAATGAACGTCGGTGTCAGTCTTACATCTGCAGGGAAAGTCGAGTAACGCTGGCTTTCATCGGCTGTTTTAGCAAGGCAAAAACTTCGAGGGCGAGATCGCCTTATGCTCGGTACGAACACTGCCATAGGCTGCCATACGTACCCGCTGCATGTCGGGAGAAGCAATCTGGTGTCGCCATTTCAAGAAGAGACTTCCCCGGGGGTATGATCCACTTCCACAAGAGACTGCCGGAGACTGATCCGCTTCCAGAAGAGACTTCGGGTTATGATCCACTTTACCTTGTCAACAAGTGGATCGGTCAAGAGAAAGTCGACGGCGGAGGCCTCTGGTTCAGCCGTAATGAGAGTGCGGAGGTCGACGTACTCGGCATCACTTAGGCCCGCTCCCCGAGCTGCCACACTGCCAAACAAACGACCAATGTTTTCAAAACGGGCATCAGATTGGCATTCATGTGCACAAGTCTTAAAAGCAGAGATACGATGTGGCTCGAGAGACGACTCTGAAGTGGATGACAACGCGTTCAGAACCTGGTAAATCCAACCCCGGCGCACTTTCAGTAAGCATCATACAGTACGACAACAATGCGGCGAAACTTCTCAAAAAAAAATGATAAATAATCCCTTATCCTTTGAAGATAGAGTCAGGACGTCCTCGAGCAAGCGTCCCTTTGGATATGTCCAGTCGTAGGGTAACAAACGTCTACTTGAAAGAGAAACGCCGTGTCTTACCAGGGCTGTTCCTAACCGAATGGCTACTGCATCAAAGCGTGGGAGAACGCCGGAAAATTCAATACAATATGTCATTGAATATGTGAGAAGTTCATATGCAAACAATATATCTGCATTTGGCGCGGCGCTGGAAGCATCGAGTAGAACACCTTGTTGTGGGGACTGTCCTTGGGCCACGTGAAGAGATGCCTTGGCGTGAAAGTGACCAGTATAACGCGGGATGTTGTCTTTGTTTCCTTTTCAGCTACCAAATGCTTTCGAAACAGTGGGCGACGAGGTCTGAAAGGGAGCTTTTCCGTCCCCAGCCCTAGTGTTTTGAAGGCAGTCCAAGTTTCTTGTCCATTCACTCAAAGGCCACCCTGTATTGGGTTCGCTCTTGGTGTGGTGAAGAAACTCTGTATTTCCGAAGAGATGCGGTCGTTGCAATCTTACCTTCGCTTTGAGAACCGAAGCAAAAGTTGGCGAGCGGGAGCGGCTTTGACGAGGATGCGATCAGTGTGCAGGGACCCGGATACCAGGGGTTCGGATGCAGGACTGGTCCACGGTTGGACCAGGTAGCTGAAGTTCGAGTTGAACCCAAGCAGCACGCCGTCCGCAGTGACTTCCTCCGGTTCACCCTCAGGCCTGCAAAGAATGGGAGAAAAGTCCGTGCTTCATATTGATTACAACGGAAACACAGTCGGCGACCACAAGGGACATAAGCGAACGTCGCTCGAGGCATAGGCAGCCACCTCCTCGCATAAGCGGGCCGCCGGTCGTGTTCTAAGGGATAAGACAGCGGACGCTTGCTGGTGTCAACGGACATAAGCTGTCGCCCGGTCAATATCAAAGTGCACACATTAGTGTAAGCAGACTTCCTCTCTTTTGCAACAGATCAGCAGACCGCCGCTCTTGTGCCAAGACAATCAGCAGACTGCCGCTGTTATCCCAACCAGTCAAGGGCTTTCGCCAACAACAAGCGCAAGCCGGACGTCTCTTGATTGCCTCATGTTCACGTGAAACCCCACTGATTTCGAGGATGGCGAAAGGGACCTGTCCTCATATATGTGCGGACTACCAACGAAACTCCCAGCCATGTAGATTCTGAGTCGCCCACAAAGCCCAAAGGCATACAACGACTATGAATTGTCATATAAAGCTGCATCGACAAAACCTACTACTTCGTGCTCAAGGAAACTTGGGTTAGGCATACGAATTTCTTCATGAAGGCCGCAATCAGAATCCGTGATACGCGTCACAATAGAAAGTAATCAGAATAACATTCCGAATAAACCGAAGAAGTTCCAGGGACTCATACTTACTACGTCAAAGTCTGGCAACATCGGGAGAACGACTTACTTTGGACCAAAAGCTTTCGAGGACTGCTTTTAAGCATCAGTCTTGCTTTGTTTAAATAGAGAGCGGCTGAAGTTTCGAATCCTACGATCACAAATTGACAACGAGGAGGGAGGTGGGCCCGCCTCCTTCCAAAAGGAGGCGGGCTTAAGAGAGCTTAAGAGAGTTGCACCAATGAAACCTCCGAAGAGACGAGCTTAGGAAAGCTATGAATTTGCATACCTGGCATCAGGACCACAGTCGATATCTCTTCGGCACTTGCAGCTGTAGGACGTCCTGTAGTCAATCCGTTGGAGGCTGATGTAGTCGAGCCAGGCATCTTGGAATTTAGCGCGCATGTTGGCGTACCTCTTCACGAGGTCCGGAGATAGCCCAATCCCCGCGTACATGGATACTTGCGTACTCCACATCGAGAAAAAGGGCAGCTTGGTCCTCCAGAACTGATGAGAGTACCTGGCGAGCAAGAAACATGAAAGCGGATCAAGGTTCAATCAACAGCATGTGTTTCAGAAAGGTGGGACGCTTGTCCTGCCAGACTGCCAAACCCCCTAACCTGAGAGCACCGATCGATCTTGCAACTGCCCAATCGGCCGACTTTGATAATCAATCAGAGCAATCTGAACTTCTGCATCTTTTTTCACAGGCACATGCATGTTCTGCCATACCAGGCCTACTAGGCTAGAGACCGTGACCAACTGCCAGAACGAGGACCATTCTCTCCAAGAGCATATGATACACAAGCAGGTTAATTGTTGTACTGAAAAAGGCTCAGCAGAAGTTGTCCAAAAGCAGAGTAAACATTGATGAGTCAGAATAATCATTGGCCAGTCACGCGTTTGGTCCGCGCCAACCTCTCTACCTCTTAAAGTACCGGTCCTTCGTGCAGTCATTGATCCGCACTCCAATAAGGCCAAGCATCAGAACCAGACTCGAGCTCAACTCTGCCCTGCATTGGGACATGCAATCTTGACTAGCTGCATAAGTTTATTGAAATTTTGCAAGCTTCTGACACTCACCAATTCAGCAACTCGTAGCTGAAGAGGTAGACATTGCTGAAGTTGAGGAGACCTTCCGAGGCGCCGTCGTAATGCTTCTTGCCACCGCATGGACACGTCCACTCCTCCACCTCGGTTGTTACAGGGGCAGTGAGATGGAAAATTGTACCTGGCACCCACTTCTTCTCTGCTTCCTCCCAAGACCGACCACAACCACATTGAGCCCCCCGCAGTTCTGATCTGATGGAGCATCTGAGCGGGAACCGGAGATCGAGAGCGCCTCTTCGTTTCAGTACATCTGCCAACTCTGGCCCGATCAAGTGAGGCTCTGGAATCTGCACCCTACTCAAACACGTCAAGCGCCTCATCCCTGTGCTGAGGTCTAGAGCTCGCCTGAGGCGCTCCTCAAACTCTGCGGCAGTAAGACCGGGCCTGCTTGAAGGAACTGAACCAGTGGCGACTTCCTCAACCTGAGCTTGGACATGCCAGCACTTTATCCGACCACTGCCGGAACAAGTGGTGCAAGCCCAAGTTCCCCGGGTGGTCTGGCGGACTACCGCGTAACCCCTACTGGCGCAGCCAACCAAGACTATGGGAAGACCATCCTTTCCTGACCAGGGCAAAGGCACGCTTGTAACAATAACCAGTCGCTCCCCGTCAGCTTCAGAGTCGATCTCCAGTTCTGCCACCCGTACCGCTGGGGGAATCACCACTTGCCTCCTGCACAGATCCTCTATTTGCAGCCCAAGCGTGCTTCCGATACGCAGGAGGACTTTTAGATGATAGCATTGGCCAACAAGGCCAGCCAGAAAGGTGCGGTCCATTGCTGTTTTGGACAAGCCCTCGAACAAACTCCTTTGTAAGACAAGGTCGTCGGAGCAGGAACACCACCAGACTGCACCCGATCCGCTCTCCCTTAACGTGATCATCTTCAGACCAGGAAACTCAAAGCGCGTCCAGTCAATTTCACCGCTCGGAAAGGAGACTGCGGGAACACAGAAAGCTGCCTGTCCTTGTGAATCCTCGCTCAAGGGCAGCCCAGGCGGGAGCTCCCTGCATTTGCTGAGCAGCTGAGAGCAGTATTTTTCCAGGACTGGATCCGCCGCCGGAGCATTGATAGGAGCAATTGCTGGATCCTGAGCGCGGGAAGGGACCTCTATTACAGACGGTCTGGCTTCAGGAGTGAAGTCCAAAGAGTCGTCGTGAGCGTGCTGGCCACCAGAATCCGCTGTCGCTGGAGGCGAGGGACCTGATTTTGATTGCTGACTAGCTGGAGGATCGCTTCCTGAAGGCGCGTCCTCCAAAGAATCTATGCCTGGTACTTGCTGCTGTCTAGATCTGGCTTGGAAAAAGCCTCCAGCTCTCACAGGGACAGGCCTGCTGGCAATGCTGCCTTGCTGCTGGCTACACGTGAGTTGGGAATTGGTTCTCAAGCTGCCAGTAGACAGATTCAACTGAGGGGCCATCCTGCGAGTGGAGCCATCCTTGTATCCAATGTATGCAGTCTTGGGTGGACCAGTGGGCCGACCACGCTTACTGGGTGGCTCCCCTTCCATGTATGCGCCTGCCTATACGACTATGTCCAATGGCAGCTCTTGTGCCTATTGATAGATGGACGGCCTGCGCCTTGAAGATGTAGACTGAAAGTCCAAAGTGGGAGGAAGAATCTGACCAGCTTCTGCTGCCTGTGCTGCACGAGCTTGCAAGCGCGATGCGCAGGTAAGACTCTTCGAAACCTCTTCGCGTCCACTGAGCACTTTTCTAGACGGTCAATTTGACCGTCAAACCTACTAGGCTAGAGTAACCTAGTAGGTAACGGAAACTTTTACCTTCGCTGTCAAACTGATCAAACCAAAGAATCTTGGTTTAGCTGTCAAACTGATCTAACCGAAGGAATTTGTTTTAGATGTCACAATGATCTAACCGAAGAATCTTGGTTTAGCTGTCAATTGGACTAAAACCATGTTTGTGGAATTATCTGTCAGCATGACCGGACCGTAAATCAGGTAATTACCTATTTTAACCGTCACATTGACTTCACGGAAAAAGCTGCACCTTTTCTTACTCC